CCTCGCGCCCGCTGGCACAGCCCCCTTGTCCCTGCGGTCCAGGGCTCAGCGGGAGCGTGGCTGTCCCTGCCTCTTCCCAACAGCTTCCAGCAGCAGCGGCTTACCCGTGGCCCCAGGCCGACACCAGGGCCCCCCAGCAGCTCTTCATCTCCCAGCCCAGCTTGCCAGTGACCAAATCCCCCCCCCGGTCTGGTGGGCACCAGTTTCCTCCCACCAGCAGCTGCCGGCCCTTCCCCACCACTGCCTGCCCTGCAGCCTGGGGTCCCCCTCCCCACCCCACCCAGGGGAAGGGTGAATCCCCCCTGGCAGCCCACTGGCTAGATACAGTCCCACACCAGAGGGCAAATCCTCCCTGTCCCCCACTGCCACCGGGATGCGAGCCCAGGACAGAGCCAACCGGTGCATCCCGAGCCCACGCAGGTGTCCCACCCCCTCTTGGAATGCACCCAGCGCCAGGCACCTCACCCCAAAACCCCACGCAGACAGGCTCACCCGTGTCCCACCTCCCACCGATGGGCGGGAGAGGTCGTTGTGAGCCCTGGGGAGATGTTCCCCACCCCCGAATTAGGGGCACTTTACTGACTTACACAAAGTGGCCGGCCGATAATCCAAGACAAGGAATGGCTTTGGCCTGGTTTATTTAATGCCTGTTCCTGGGGAGGCTCTGGCTACCAGCTCTGCACCCCCAGTGGCCCGCGGGTCCCCTTGCGGCAGCATCCCCGAGCCAGGGCCGTGCCCCCAGGGCAGCGGGAAGGAAAGGGGGTTTGGCCGGAAGGACGCATGGGTGCCGCCGCCTCTCCTGTGGGCACTGGACTCAGCTCGGCGGGGCAGGAGTCCCCGGGTCCCAGGCTGCTGCCTGGCGGGTGTCACACTGGGCTTCATCTCATCGTGGGTGTCCGCTTCCACCCCCCTCAGAGAGCTGACAGAGTTCAGCCCCGTGCACCCCACCGCTCGCTCCCTGTGTCCTCGGGGCGCCCCAGGCCACGACAGACAGACGTCCCACCTTGGCCATGCTCTTTACCTGGTCCTTCACCGACCGCTCTGTGGGATAGCCGGGTCCAGCACGCGATATTGAGGAAGGTCACAACGTCACCATGGGCAAGTTTCATTTGAGCTGGCAGTGGCACCTGGATGCCAGCAGCCCCCGCAACGCTGCCGTG